CAGGTTAAAGCCCTTCTCATGCAAAAAAAAATTTAATGTGACGCAAATTATGCATTTTTTCCTCAGAAGCAGCTGCCTTTTGAAGGCTCCTTCCTATGCTTTGCATGTCCATGCACACCTCACCCAGTGCTATGGATGCTCTGTAACAGAATATTCCTGATATTTACATGTTCATCATATTTACCTGTCGATACATGTAATATTTCCATCTGGATGCAAACAGGCCTCAGCACAGAGCAGCGGCCCAGCCCAGGCAGGCAGGACCACGTCCACGCACATGGCAACACATGGGCTCAGACACACGGCGTGCAAGGGCCGTGGTGGTGCTGGAGAGGGCTGCCTTGGGATTTAGGAAGGATTCAGATGCACCTGTCCCTGGTTAGGTGGGCGTGTCAGCCCTGCACAGGCCACCGGTCTCAAAAAGCCTTCTCTCTCTCTGCATGACAGGCAAATATCCAAAACTGATGGTGATGCTCTGTAACAAAATATCCCTCATATTTGCATCCCAGTACCAGCCACACCAGGAGCAGAGGGCAGACCTCCTCTGTGCAGTCATGACCACATCTTCCACCAGATCTCATTGCTTAAAGCTCTCTCTAGACTTACTTCCTTTCAGGGAGGGTATTTCCACAACTTAGGAGCCAAAGGCAATTGTTATTACACTACACGTGCCAGCAATTCCTCCTAGTTACGTCTAAGCTTGCTGATGTCAGGAGGTGAAACTGCTGCATGGCGATGAAGGTGTCCCCTGTAGCTGTAAATTAGAGTGCTTGGGCTTCCTGAGCCCGGGTGATAAACTGCCTTATAGCCCTGAGAGATCATGCACGTATAATGTGCCTTATAAAATGTCCTAGGCATGGGCATTCAAATCGTCTTCGTGGTCTTTAATTTATTCCAGACATGCCCCTGGCTGAGCCATAAAGCCACAGGCAAGTAAGGCCAGCACATGGCTCTGAAAGACAAGTTTTCCATCTTAAATTAGTCATTCATCTCAGCAAACCCTCCATGAGCTACATGAGTTGCCCTAGGCTGTTACCTAGGTGGGTCAGACCAGGACGTTGATCCTCCTATTAATCCTCCTGTCAGTCATTCCCCCAGCCACCTCTGCCTGCTGCAGCCTTGGCTCAATGGCATCATGCAGGCAATTCCCCCACCCTCACTGTCACCTCACTGCCACAGCTCTGGGGCACAGCCAAGTGCCTGGCAAGTGCTACAGACTTGGTAGGACTCCATAAGTAGGATTTACTGGTGAGATTCAGGCAAAAAGGACATCCTTGAACAGGCAAGCAATTGCTAGAAACTGAGGGGAGCGGGCCTGCAGACATTCCCCCCTCCAGAGAACACATTTGCCGCTTCTGATGCAGAAACACCTGACAACTGTATAAAGAGAAAAACCTCCTCTGGAAAAAAATGCCTGATTCTCAAAGAAATGTCAAACTTGAGCTTGTCCAGATACACTCCAGGCAGTAAAAATCCTAGAGCAAAACTGAGGCATCAGATGCCTGTTTTTTAAAATTTATTTGACATGAAGATCAATAACAGCTGAATAATCTGTGTGGAAGAAAGGTCGTGAGAACTCATGGTTTGCAACTCCATAAACAGCTGTAAGGTTTCCTCTATGTCAAAGGTCCCATCAGATTCCATAAAAGCCAAAGCACAGGAACAGGGACGTGGGGCTCTCACAGAAAGATTTTTGGACTCTCTACAGGGGTATTTTGCACAGTTTGGAGGTCTCTTCCAATGGAAAGTCGCTGTGTTTAGACAAAAGGTTAGCATGGAGCATTTTTTTTGCAGGAAAAAACAAGGAGATCAAAAGGACAGCAGTACCTCCAGAAAGCTTTACGTGGATTAATTAAAGGTGGCATTTGGTAGGCACGGACAACCTCAGATGCTGCATATGGTGCATGTTAACTACCATAAAGAGTTAAGATAATAATGAGGTGTTCAAAATTTGCAATTAATATGTGGCCATGCTATTAATTTTGAACCCTCACACAGAGATTATTTTTCCTCTATATACTTCAATTTAAGAGAAAGTCTTGCTTGTCCTTCAATGCCTTACCCCCACCATGTGGCTGTTCACCTACGATTAAGGCGTTACCACCAGGAAAATTAACAGGGATTGCAGTGCCCTCAGGGGATGAAAGGCAAGTTTCCAGCATCTTAGCTTAATTTCGCAGCTCCTGGACTCTGCAGGGAAAGGGGATAAAGATTCCCCTTACTGTGCTTTGCTGAACGCATCCCTCTGTGTGAGCACTGGAGGTGAAAATGGCACAAGAGAACCCAGATGATCAATCCTGACAGTGATCAAACATAGAACAGTGACTAAATCACAACACTGCCCACCACAGAACAGCGTCGACTGTGTTTGTGCTGCCCAAAGCAGATCTCATTCAAAATGCAAACACTGAATACTGACATTGATAGCAGGTAAGGGAACATCCAGCACATTTACATTCCCGCACCTGCCCTGCTCTGAATAGGAGCAGCATCACAATCCCCAGCAACAACAACTCTATAAAGCTCCTCTTTCCATACGTGACACTCAGCAAACAGCAGCTGCCGACCTGTGCTCAGCCTTGGTGCAACAAACTCCTTCTCCAGCTCAGCGTCAATACCCTTCTTGGAGGATGAAAGTTTGTTACTCTCAATATACATTTAATGCAACTTCAGACAGTGTCATGACTATGGTCATCCTCACGCTTCAGGCATTTGCTGGCCTGTGGATAAATGCTTTCATTGCTTTTGTACTTTGTATTGCTTGGGTCAGAAAGAGAAGCTTTAACTCCGTTGAGAAGATCTTGCTGTTTCTCGGATGCTCCAGGTTTTGTTTTTTGTGCATCACATGGGTATTTAACTTTCTTAAAGCAATGTATTCCTGGTGCTTCTTTATTCACCCCATACCTCAACTCCTTGTAGCTATTCAAAGCTTTTTTGAAGCTTCCAACTTCTTGGTTTCTGCTTGTCTTTGTGGTTTCTATTGCATAAAAATTGCAAATTTCAGGCACACCTTCTTCACCTACATGAAAGTAAAAATTGACAGGATTGTGCCATGGCTCTTGTTGGGGTCAGTGCTTTTATCCTTGGTCATTGGCATTCTTTCCTACGACATCACTGAGAAAGCGCTCTATAGCCACTTCAATTCCACCACAGAACGAGATTCACGAAAATTGAGAGTAAGAATGGATGAACATTTTTTGCCCATGTTTGTCACCATCGGCTTCATATCTTCTGCTGCATTCATGGTGGCTTTCTTTTCTGCCCTTCTCCTCCTCTTTTCTCTCTGGAGACACAAAAGCAACATGCAGACAAATTCTGCGAAGAACCTCAGTCTGGATGCTCACATCAAGGCCATGAAATCTGTTCTGCTTTTCCTCTTCATTTACATCATTAACTTTACACGTTTGACCTTGACTATGATTTATATCACGAAGAAGGATGAACATGTGACATTTGTCATTTCAGTATTTCAGTATATTTTTCCAACCGTTCATTCCCTCAGTCTGATTTTGAGCAATCCCAAACTGGAAAAAACATTGCTACAGACTCTGTCCTGCCTGAAATGCAAGGTGTGCATGAGGTAGGAAATGTACGAAAAGCTGGAGTCCATTAAACATGTTCATATGTCATTATAGAAAACAAGAAATTTAATCTCTAATGCAACTCTCCAGCCAGTGTAGATGATACAGGTGTTCTATCTTCACCACCTAAGTTAAGAAAAATTCAAGTCAATTCTCTGAAGCAAGTTATTATGAGTTAAAGTGCTACTATCTTTTGATTTAGATAATTCTTTGAGTTAAATTATTGTGAATAGAAAGTAATTCAGACTTGGTACAGGGGTTAGCTCCAAAAGGGGAATACCAATACTGCAAACCTTCTAAAAATGCTTTGGTATTTGCTGATTGAAGCTACATAACCAAACTACATGTGTATATTTATTTTGGTTTACATGTATTCTGGTTGTGGCTCTGTACTTAGTTATATTACGATTTGTATCACTGTCTTGCACTGATGTATAACTCACGCTTGAATGTGCTGATGGCTATTATTGACCAGGGGTGGTTATGGACTTACAAACAGCCATGCAGAAATTGCCTCAGCAGTGACTGGATGGACATGTGACTTCCTATGTGTGCTGGGTTTGCCTGACCAGATTTCACTAGTGGGGGCTGTAATGGCAGCTTCTGCAAGAAGCTGACAGTAGTTTCCCCTAGGCCTGACAGACCCACCACTGGCCAAGGCTGAGACTATCAGTGATGATATGAATGCCTCTGTGAAAACATATTTAAAAAGTGGAGAAATAAAACTGCGACACGCAACAACTCGCAGAGAGAGAGAGTGAGAGTATGTGAAGACACCAAGGTCTGTGAGGAAGGAGGAGGAGAATGTGCTCCAGGTGCTGGAGCAGAGAGTCCCCTGGGTCATGCTGAAGCCCGTGCTGAAGCTCGTGGTGAAGCCCATGGTGAAGCCCGTGGTGAAGCCCATGGTGAAGCAGGCTGTCCCCTTGCAACCCGTGGAGGTGATGGGGTGTAGATGTCCACCTGTAGCCCGTGGAGGATCCCCATGCCAGAGCAGATGGATGCCTGAAGGGGGCTGTGACCCCGTGGGAAGCCCGTGCTGGAGCAGGTTGCTGCCAGAGCCTGTAGCCCATGGAGAAAGAGAGCGAGAAGCCCACGCCAGAGCAGGACTTTTGTGACTCCGTGGGGGACTCGCGCTGGAGCCGTTTCCCCTGAAGGACCGCACCCCACGGAGAGACTCATGTTGGGGCAGTTTGTGAAGAACTGTCTCTCATGAGAGGACTCACACTGCAGAAAGTGTGTGACGATCATCTCCCATGAGAGGGACCCCACAATGGCCCACAGGGAGAGTGAGTCCTCCCCCACAGGAAGAAGGAGTCGTGGAGACAACATCGGATGAACTGACCACAATCTCCATTCCCTGTACCCCTGCGCTGCTCAGGGAAGGAGGTGGATAAACTGGGAATGATGTTAAGCCCAGGAAGAAGGGAGGAGTGGGGGGAGAGGTGTTATTTTTGAGATCTGCTTTTATTTCTCGTTACTCTTTTCTGATCTGATTATTAATAAATGTAATTAATTTCTCTAAATTGAGTCTGTCTTATCTTAGGTGGTAACTGCCAGTGATTTCCCTGTCCTTATCTCAAACCCTTTTTTATATTTTCTTCCTGCCATCTACCCAAGAAGGGAGAGTGATAGTGTGACTGTGGTGGGCTCCTGACCGTCACCAGGGTCAAACCACTGCACCATGCCAGCCTTATGTGTCCTCTCTCTCTGCCTCACTTCATGCAAAAACATTACTTCTCCTGTTCTGTGCAACTGCTCTCCTGGTCTGCTTTAACTTTTTTAATGAGATCTGCTTTTAGATCAGCCTGAGTAAAAGTCAGAATTGCCTCTGACTGCAACTAAGACAGTCAAGAGGAAGCCTGCAGGACCACCTTCTTTGTCCTCTCTTTTGTGCTGGGGAGTTGGTTTTATTTTGGAGATGAGGGCCAGTTGAGAACAACCATGGAGTTATGGAGGTCGGTGGAGAAGTTGAGGGAGTGGGGCACCAAAGCATCTTCCTGAGGCCTGTGGTGAGACAGCAGGCTGACACCCTGCAGACCAAGGAGATCAGCGGTGTCAAAATGTCCAGGATGTAGCCCATGGAGTACCCCATGCCAGAGCAGAGGACAGTGCCAGAATAGAAGACTCACCTGAAGCATGCTGTGACTCTGAGAGAAGCTCTGGCTGGAACAAGACCGTCACCGGGAGGACCACAGGTCACCAGACGGACCAATATTGGTGGGAAGGACTCATGATGGACAAGTTCAGGGAGGATTGTCTCCCCTGAGATGAACACCTTGCGGCAGCAGAAGACTGTGAGAAGTCCACTATCTGGTGAGGAAGGAACGGCACAGAAAATGAGTAATGAGCAGACCAAAACTTCCATCCCCTGTCCCTCTGTAGGGGGTAGGAAGTACGCGGGAAAAAGGGAGGGGTGGAAGAAACATGTATTTCATATCAGATTGTATTTATTTCTCTCACTATCCTACTCTGATCTAGTGGATTTATTTGAACTAGTGCTGGTAAATTAAATTTATATTTCTCCCCAAATCTACTCCATTTTTGCCCATGATGAGAACTAGTGAATGAACCCTCCCTGTCCTAATCTCAGTCCTCAGACATATTTGCAATAGTCTCTCTCCCTTGTTCCCCTCTTATCCTGCCCCAAGGGCATGGTGGGGGATCACAGAGAGCATCTGTCACCTGGTTAGTGGCTAAAAACTGTTACACCAGCTCAGGCCCAGGGTGACATCTTACCTTTTGCCAAGTGCCAAGCATGCATTTGTTATGCATCTCAACAGGTTTTGGTTCTGCTTCTCTTTTACAACATCCATCCAGAAGGAGCAGGTTTGCCAGGTGTGGAGTCCAAACCTCAGAGGCCTCCTGACAACCTGCAGAATTTAGAGATATCCAAAAAGGTCTCCAGGGAGTCATCTCAGGTGTAGCATCAGGCCTGCTGGATGTGGATTCCCTGTGCAAGAAGCTGTTGAGCTTTCCCTCTGATGCATTTTTGATGCATTTTGATGTAATTCTGCTAGCAGAAGGCTTCTCAGACCTTCTTTTCCCTCTATAAAGAGGATGCAGTCATCTTGTAGGACAACCGTGTGAAGGACTCACTATGTTCTATATACTCTCTATTAGAAACCAACTCAAAGGTAGAGTTTCTGCTCAGAGAACACGAGTGGCTCCAAGATGCTAAATTGAAAAGTTGAAGTGAAGGCAAAAAAGATTACTTTGTAAGCTTTCTGGTTTAAGATTTGCCTTTTTCATGGACAAAGAACACTCCTCTCTTCCTCTCCATCCCCACAAAAACAAAAGGGAGAGAGGTTAATAAGAAAGTTTAACAAAGTGTTTCCAAATCAGTAGCTTTCCCTCTTTCCTGGCTTTTCCTGCAGTACCAGAGCAAAATAAATTTTAATTCATATTGTTCAGCTAAAGGGAAAGGGTTTCAGTCATCTAATCAAAATGAGACACCCCCAAGCACGTTGCCTTTATCTCTTTTCCTTTAGCTGCAATTCAGATCAGTTGCCAAACTCCACTGAGTCTCACTTCCACAGCAGGACACATCCTTGACCAAACACAGTTCCCAGGGGATAAAGATCTTGAACATTCATCTGGACACTTGTCCACAGCTGAAAGGCCCTTAAAGGACAGGCACCATCACTCCTCCCTTCTTTCTCTACTCTTGATCAATGTTGTTGATCCTTTAGCATAACAGTCCCAATTGCTTTCACAAAAACAACATGGAAAATCCTTTTTATTTCCTACATCCAATGTGGTATCATCCTGCAAAAGCTCACGTACCACAAGACACCACAGGCAAAACCAACATTAGGCGGACGTTCTCAGGCAACAGAATGCAGCCCCTGCAAGTCACGGTGAAGACATCTTCCATCTCCATGAAACACTCTTGAACATGAAGCTCAACACAGCATCACTGTCTCATGCACCAGTCCCATCCAGTTGGCACTGGAGGACACAGGCTATAAGCCACCATGGCCGTAGTGCACAGCCCATAAGCTAAAGTTGCTCTCCAGAGAGATGAAAAGATTTACCCAGCCCCAGAGGAAATATTTCTCAGCTAGAGGATGTTCCACCAGCTGGTCTTGGGGTTAAAAAAACAACAGTTTAGTATATCGGCATGCCAACAAGCACTCTCCTCCTTCTATATTTGCGACTACACTGTCACTAACTTAACAGGGAGACAAACAATGAATGAAGTTGATGGTTCACATGGCTTGGAAAGAGCAAATGACAAACAACAAAGATGGAGCTTGAATTGCTTGATCAAACATAGGCACTTTGAGTCATCTAACAAGTCTTAGAGTACCTGAGACATCTGCATGGGATTGGGATCTTCTGGAGAACCTACAGGGTCAGCCTGGGTACTTGGGAGCATCTCAAGTGGCTTTAGCCATCTCCGTGTAGACGGCTGAATTAGTCCTTGGAAATCTGGGAGACGGGAGTGTATCTGAGAGTTTCTAGTTGTGACAGAGACGCCTGAGTATTGTGGCTGGATGTGAAGGAGACCTGTAACTGCAGCAGTCTAGAAGGATCAGGCTTGGTTAGTAGAGAGGAAGCAAAAGGGAAAGGAGACAGACACTTTGGAGAGGGGAAGCAGAACAATAAAATGTATCAGAAGTAATTTTGAGTGGCTGCCCAGTGCTGGCACAGTACTGAAAATAGCTCTGGGACAAATTCAAACTTTTAGCCATGAAAAGTGTTGATGAACAAAGGCATAACTCAGTACCACTTCCACCACCCCCCCTGCTAACATAGGTGTCAAAATGACTGGGGTCACTGCCAATTGTAAGTCATTGCTCTAAGTGTCTTTTCAGCCACAGATGTCTGAAAGCAGTAATGAAGTACAATGTCATTGGACTCGATATTCTTAAAGGTCTTTTCCAATCCAAATGATTCTAGGGTTCTACATAGATAAGATTCTATGTTTTGCATTCTGCTGAATCAAGCAATGGCTTAGAAACAAAGCTGTGCTGCAGAGGTTCAAGTTTTGCATGGGAAAA